TTTTCGTCATCCCAAAGGCGTACGAACTGAATGTTCAGTCACTGGGTCCCAACTGGTGTGAAACCCTTATTTTACCCTGCTGCTTTTGGGTTAGGTTTTTCGGCCAAAGGTTCAGGACCGTCGTTCCTTAAGACAACGCACCTACTTCGGCCTAGGCAACCGGATGATGTCTCGCCTACTGATGGACCATGGATACATACAACTACGCTCTCTCTCGCTCCCATAAACCACTGTCCTACGATTACGCCAACTTTACAAACACATGCCACTTCTCCTTGTATGATTCATCCCCATTATTCCCTGATTCTTCAAACGTGAACAACCCTGCCTCTGCCGATGAAGTTGTTCTCTCGCCACCCCTCAACTCAACCACACAGTCCTCGACAGGGAGCTGACAGCCCGCGAAGTTTGTCATCTTCGCTACTGCGACCTGGAACACAGTTCCAACTAGCAACCCTCAATATGCGCACATTACTGAAGATTAGACAGCAAATCGCACTTGTACGCACTTTGCAGACCCTTGAAATTGATGTCTGCTGTTTGAGTTAAACTCGACTCCAGGATTCCAACACAGTCTACAAGCTGTCGTCGCCAATCCAACCACACATCGGCTTTTACCTTCGTCCTTCTGGTGACGAAGAGTCCTCCGCATCTGCGCAAATTGGTGTTAGGATCGCTCTGTGTTAAAGCAGAGGCCACCCTTCTTTACCGGATTCCGGTCAATAGTCGCCTATGCGCTGTGAAGTTTCGTGGCTCTTAGCAGGCATGGCACAGACAAGCGTGCTCTTTCCGTGATCTCCGCCTACGCGCTCACTGGCTGCAGCTCGGATACAGTCAAGGACCAGTTCTCTCAACATCTTCATGAGCTGCTCCAAAGGACGCCTAAAACAGTCTTCGTTGTTATAGTGGGAGAGTTATACGCACATATTGGTCGGCTGCTGCTGTGTGAACATCACTTCGTGGGACCGCACGGGTGTGATGATGTTCGCTTTGACAACCGGGAGAGACCGCTTAATCTTTGTGCCGAGCACCAACTTTTCCTCTCCACTATGCGCTTTCGTCAAGCTGGACTCCCCTATGCCACTTGGCGTCCTCCATCACTTCTGCTTGGGCAACCGGGTAGTACTACTTCGGCTTGGGCAACCGGGTAGTATCTTGCCCTCTGACGAAACCATGGATTTTGATGTGTTGTGTTGTGTTTTCTTTTACTATTTCTGTACCTTGTTTTGAGTACCATGGTTTCCGATGGCTCAATGTCTATTCATAGACTGTTGCAAAATATATCATCACATGGCGATAAGTCACAGGTGGCATGGCAACGTACGCGAGTGCCGATTATTTTGGTCAACTTATGTTGACACCGGTCATACATTGGTGTGTGCGATAATTTGCATGCGTTTTGCCTATTGCGCGATGGTCAAGCAAACTCGACTAAACATTCTTAAGTTGGAGGACCCCGCGGTGAAAACGCAGTATCAACAGTGGCTTCTAGCTAACCTCGCTCTACCCCAGGCTCTAGATGTCGATCAACACTGGTCGAATTTGCAAAGAGCAGTGCTGTCCGCCGGCTTGTCCAGCTACGGACTCACCCGCAGCAAAACCAGAAGCTGGATTTCTGTAAGATTCTCGGAACTGCCGGATCGTCGACGGGCTTTGCCCGCCGGTGCGGAGCACAATGAATTTCGTCAGTCTATCTCTCAATAGCGGAAGTCAAGCCATTGGTCCAACCATGAATCATGGTGGTCAAAACGAGCTGCTGAGATGGAAACCGCGACATCGTGCGGAAACTTCCGTAGGTCATTTTACCACAATAAGACCACTGGTTGCCATTCACACGCTGTCAGTCAGACGATTGGTATCAGACGGCAGGAGATCACAAACCTGCACAGTCGCATGGATCACTGGGCAGAGCACTGCGCTTTCCAATTTAACTGTTTAGCACAGCCCACTGTGACACCTAGGTTTCCCTCGGATGGTGGTTGGCCTATCGCTCCTACCGAAACAGAGGTTCGAAGCGCAATCCAACCTTTGAAGCGTCAACAAGCTCCCTGTCCTGACAGCATTCCACCGACTCTATTCCAAGATGGCGGGAATGCACTTGTCAACGAAATGCTATCACTGTTCACGAGAATTTGGGTTGAGGAGAAAGTCCTACTTGTATGGAGAGAGCCGGTCATTGTCTCGATTCACAAGAAAGACTCCCGCGAGGATTGCGTCAATTACCGCGGAATTTCGTTTATCACTGTTGGCTCCAAGGTTTTCGTGTCTGTTCTACTCCACAGGCTCTCAGCGACTAGAGAAGACGTTTATCGAGACGAACAGTCCGGTTTCCGTCCAGGTCGTGGACGCATTGACCACATCTTCACACTCCACCAACTTCTTGAACTTTGTCACGTCCACTAACAACGAACAATCGTAGTGTCCTTGGACATCCAAGCGGCTTTTGACTCAGTAGATAGATCTGTGTTGTGGAAATGTTTACTAAGCAAAGATGTGCGTGACAAGTTTGTAACCATCTTGAAGGATCTCTACAGTCGCACAACGGGCAAAGTCAAGGCTTACAGCACGCTTTCCATTTCGTTTCATAATAAGTCAGTCGTCGTTTCTCGTAATATTTGCAGCTCTGTCTAGGTCAAGAAACCGAGTAGGACAGTTGTCTACACACGTACAAGCGCAAGCACACGCGCACGGGATCAAACGAAAGATTCTTTGAACTGGGTAAACAAGCTGACCCTAGATGTGAGCGCGCTAGGCACACAAAGGGGGATCCGCGATGCGTCAAAATTCGATTAATAGTGATTGAAGCGGCCATCGCTAAACCCGGTTCTTTGCTGGGTTGGATATTTGATTAACAGCAGTGAACCAGCGACTGCAAAATATGATGCAGCGACTAAACGCAGGGTTGGATGAACACGAGTTTAAGCTATTCCTATCGCAGGGAACAAGATCTTGCGAGTAGGAGTAACAGACACCAGGAACTAAAAAACGTGTTTCAATAACAAGGTCCAAATTTCCGAGTGGATACGATGTTGAAGCGTTGAAAAATTCGACAACTTAATATCCACTTTGCAGAGATGATAAATCCGAGTGGAGTGAGTGTAGGCTCGCTGATGAGCAGCAAGATTATGAGGGATAATCCGCAAAACCTCGCGAGCTCTGTAATGGTGCGACCGCGCGGCACCGAAGTGCCATGGGTCCAGTTGCCACAACTTATGTTGCCGGAAAAACAACAAATAAGAACCTTCAGAAGAGGTGGTTAACGAAAAGTTACGTAAGGAAAATGGGAACAAGAAAACACGTTCAAGTAATTGTAATGGAATTACCATGAACAGTTGACTGCAAGAAACGGAGTGCAGGAGTGCGCCTGAAGGCATGACTGCTCCTTGACTGATCGGGTCTCTAAGCACTGGTATGGACCATCCAGAGACGACATGCACCAACCTGACCAAGTCCATCGGTGAGTTTCTTCATGTCTCTATTCCACGTCATGGACTGGTCACCTAGTGGTTTCGCCCAGCTTGGTGCAGTGACGACGTATAATGCACGCCAAGGTAGGCGGTCAACTGGCATACGGAACACATGGTATAGGCAACGTAAGCGGTTAAGATTAAGCATTAGTTGCCCGGTGTTCCCACCAGAAGTGAGCAATAGTCCTCAGGCATCGGTCAATCGTTTAGTGTCATCACTACGGACTGGCCACGTTTCTGATCCATACAGAAACACCGGCCTTATCGCAGCATTATGTCCCATACCTTTCACTGATATGTTGCTATTCACCATCTTCATGGACAGATAAGCCTCTGGAATGTCACACGATCCTTGCTGATAGGAGAAGTAACTTCCTCAGTGATGTGACCACCAGAAGTGACACACCTCTCAAAGTAAGTGAACCGATACACCACTCCCAGCGGGTATTCGGTGATAGTGGTGTATCGATCCAGTTCTGTTACAATACCTTGCACTTTACAGTTTCAAGGCCCATATCGAAACATGAAGCGTTGCCGACTAATCCCGATGATATGAAACGGCCGTAGGATGTTTTCGGGTGTGTAGGAGAAAAATGAGTTGAAAGCGGCTGAGAAGAATTTTCAATAATGGCATTTGGAGACCAGAACAATGAGTTCTCATTTTTCGAGCTGACCGCGGTACGTAGGCAAGGGTTCGGAAGTCCAGCTTCCATCGTCTATATTATCTTGGGAATTATTGAGAGTAAATAAACGATCCATCCGTATAATAAAAGGATCAACAATCGCTCGTTTGTTTTTTTCGTGGCAGTTAGTCCGGGGACAAGACCTTTAGATGAGTAAGCGCAAACATATTTGCTGTTTACTCTACTACTTCCATAGTACCATGCAACTATCTGTGGGTATTGAACTAACCGGTTCTTATACGGACTGGAACACCTGAAAAAGATTTGTGGACCCAAGGGGTTATCCAGTGTTTCATGTGGTCAAAGATTGGAACTGGCAACAACTGAGGATGGAGGACCCTAGGAAAAGCGTTTGCCAATCTGTAAAAGTCTTATTTTAGTACCAATGACTGACAAAGGGTAGCATGTTTTGAATCAAGTGAGGAGCAATCGTAAAAACAGTTCTCAGCTTCAAAGCAACTTGCTTCATAGTACTGCAGCTCCATGATGTTAATGCTAAACAAGTGCACAGTCTTCGGGAATCGCTAGACCTTGAGCGCAACCATTCTAAATATAGAGTTACTGGATGGAACGGGGACGCGGCTAACGAATACCCAGGAAACGGCCTTCAGAAATCGTCACTCACTACACCAGCACCTAACGTCGCTACACATCCACCTTTACTAAGCAAGCGTCAAAATTACGAGTTCCAGTTATTGGAACTCTGGTTAGTTACTTTCCCAGCAACCCTATGTGATCTCCTTTGTGCTACCCCCTACAAAACAAAACGGCATCGCCACACTACAATTCACTGGAGATAGTGGCGATGAAATTGCTACACGTTCCATGCTCACTTTTAACTGCCACTCACCCTCACTGTTCCAACAGATTATTGTCTCTGCCTTCTTTACGTACTCGTCCAAATCGACCAGCTCCTCACGGATCAATTCTGTTTCTGTCGGTGTGACGTTGATGTACAAATAGTTGTACCACTCGCAACTCATGTCCAAACTGACAATGAAGTTGCGCAACATTTCGTTCTGTGCAAAGAGCTCAACTGCCGCGTTCGGTAAATTTTCCTCCCCAAGTATTCGGAAGTATTTTGCCTCACGGAGCACAGCAACGAGCTGAGGAAAGAAGAAGCGGTTGGTTCACCATCCTCATTATAATCCTCAAGCTCATTAACAACAATAACAAAGAAAAGGGGATGGGGAAGCAAATAAAACAAGCGAGGGGTTGAAATGTTGATCCAATTCATGGTAGCATTGAGTTCATGAGTCAAAGTAACGTCCCGCTACCCAAACGAAGGATGGTGAGGCATTCCGAGTCTCCTGAGACTCGAGTGGGATTAGGTCTGCGGCTACGGTCACACGCAATCACATACACACACAAAGTTCGTGGCGATTGAAGTGGAAAGCAGAAATGAGCTAATTTGCTCGAATTGTAATCTTATAACTCAAGTTAGCTAGACTCAGTTGATGTTCCAATTAGGAAATCACACGCTAACATCCATCTTGAGTGATCGGAGGGCCCTAGCGTGGTATCCGAGACTTGTTTCCGCTGGTTATCGGCTGGGATGTAGGACCAGTAGCACTGACATGCAGTTAATCTAGGAAGTGGTAAGTGACGAAGGTGCCGGCATTTCAATGCGGCCTATCGGATTATGCTGGTCGCCCAGCGAGCAAGCTAGGCTTTATGCGTACCGCCGGCTTGGTCTGAAGTTGAATTGCTCGTTAGAAATGGGCTTGCCGTCATTGTGCTTCAAGCAGGGCTAATATGTTGGTGGTGCCACAATTCACTAATGCGTTTTACGGTCAAACTTTGTTGTCGGGTATTAGCCCAAGCAATGTAAGCACATGAAATCGCCCGATAACTCCTTTCTCTATTCGTTATCAAGATATTCCTGAACATTATCTAACAGCTCCAGGTTGTGAAGCAAGTGGAACAATGCGCGTGTGTGTTGATGCGGAATGGTGAGGCATCGCCAGGGTGTAACACATGAAACAAATGATGGGCGAATGAGAAATCGATAGACATCTTGGTACCCGTGTTATGCGTACTTCTACGTTTGCCTTCGTGAATGAGTCTGATAATCCATACCCGAATTCTAAAAATGGTGGTCAAAAAATTTCCCCTTTTTACCTAGCCCTGAGCTCAAAGTTTGTGGAACACTGTAAGACATTGGATACTAGGCAACCACAAGTTACTGCTCCCAATGTAGACAACAGAACGGACGTGCATGAGATCGTCAAGGAGCATTATCTGTTTCCTTCAAAGTCCTATTGGCAAAAGTACATAAGACAAAACTTGACAATGGGCGAGTCTGTAAAATCCAGTGCGTTAGTCTACGTGGAACATAGGTTGAAAAGGTTCTGTTACAAGCAGGTAACTTGTAGGGACAAGTCAGCTGACGTATCCGTAGGCGGAGCGTCCAGTGCCCGCAGCACTTGGCCGATGCTTTAACTAGGCGTAAAATCCATTTAAAGACCGTTAGTTGTCAGAAGCAGTACTGCTTCTATATTTTGGGTGCAAACCAGTGGTTTGAGAAAACCTAACTTGGTTTTATTGCCCTGAAGGCCCACTTGTCCAAACCTCTATTACGCAGGATGCTTTGATATTCCGACGTCTGTCGATTGTCGTATAGGGGTTAGTTCAGTTAGGTCAAACCAAGAAACTGACGTGCTTGTGTGTATGTGTGGGGGGGGGGCAAGGGCGTCTACCGCGTCAGCACCGAAGTTACTTGGCACATAGTCTTCAAAGAAGTCACCAACGTGAAACACAGAGTCAAACCCGACTCATAAATTGAGCATTAAAGGGCAAAATTGTTTCACGCTTGTCTAAGGGCTATAGTTCTACAGGATTCCTGTGTGAAGCCCTAGCCCTAGGAATATGTGTTGTTGTTAACGATTCCCTTCCGCGCAACACATATTACTGTACCCCGAAAGCAAGGATATCAAAAGTTCGTGATGCTCGTTAAAAGAATTAATAATGAAATTATCCGGGTTAAAAAGCATTGTTTACAAGTATTGTGGAAGAATTAGGTGCGGTTACCAAAAAAGAACTAGAGTTTAAGTATGAAAAGAAGGATTTCCAACCAATGAATAGTGCCAATATCAGATAAGAAATGCAACTAGCAAAGAGACCACTTTCGGTTTATTCTTATCAGGCCCTTACTGCAATAAGAATAAGCATACAACATGGTAAGCTGCAGTCAGCTACGCTGAGGACAGCTACGCCGAGAGTTTGTACAGAGTCAGTAGGTCAGATGGATGCCTAGGTCGATTCACTTAGAGTTGGCCTCGCAGCCGATTGTACGCCTCCTAGGGTAGACCTCGTAGCCGATAGTAAGCAGTTAGTGTCCGATCCCGAGTAATTACCGCTTGGTCAATATGGGAGAAGCACTTGTACAATGGCTGGTTGCTTGCAAAACTTGGACAGAGTCAGTCTGATGGAAACTGCTTCAGCCATCTGCAAGAGACGCTATCTGAGAGCCTTCAAATGGAGTGGTGAGAGAGAGTAGAAAGTCTTAAACGCATCCGCAAGTGCACAAGCCAAACGTAGATCTACGCCGGATTATTGATATATCCTCTTCCTCCTTCCACGGTTGCTAAGTGGCTAGTGGAAGTGTTGTAGCCAGTATGCAAGGAACTTTCTACTCACTCACTAAAAGACTCTTTTGAATTCGTAAAACACGTAGAGAAACTGAACGTGTGTGGCAAACTCATGTTATGATTCAATGTGGAATCACTTTTCCCCAACGTCCAACTGCTAGTAAGCATCAATTTTCTTGGTGGTTACATTAGCATGAAGAATATAGACATCGGGATTCCGCCAAGCACAATAAAGGAACTCATTTTGCGATGCACTGTTAACATGCAATTCCTATTTAATAAAATCTGTTACAAGCAAAATAACGGTATGACCATGCGTCCCCCAGGACCGCTCCTTGCTGATGTTTCCTGGCGAAGCTTGAACGGGGACCTTTACGATCGATTATCTCAACGTTCGGTTCGTATTTGCGATATGCGGATGACACTTTCATTGTTTATGATTTAAACAGAGACGTTTCTCGTCTCTTAGCTCAATTCACCAGCGCACATCTGGCGTTACACTTCACCAGTGAAATGCAAAGCGATAGAAGACTGACCTTTTTGAACGTGTTGCTGAGGCGACGGAACGACGGCTCTCGGAGAGAAGCGTTTTCCGGAAGCTGACATGGACGGGCCAATACCCACCTTTTAAGCTTTGTACATTTGTAACGCAAGCGGATCTTAGTGCGTTGCTTACATTACCGTGTTGCCAGAGTCAGTAGTCTAGAGACGCTTGACGAAGAGAAACATCGTATTCTCAGGATATTGCAAAGGGAACGAATATCTCGTTCAGTTTATCAGAAAGCAGGCCACGATCCGTCTGCGCTCTGAAATCACCTTGACCGTACCAAAAAAGGATGTGTTTCTATCTGTGCCAGTCAAAAGAGATATTGCCTTTGACTTATTAAACTGGAAACTCAGCCGCAGTGTCCAAAACCTACCCAGCCACCTATCTACATGTACTTACTCAGACCGCTCCCTTTGTGTTATATAAGCAAAGGTGGTTAGCTCAGGTTGTTCAGTTGGTGGTCTGAGTGTTCACTGAGCTCGCTGATACATAACCACGCACTGACAATGTCATCTTGTGTGGTGACGTAACGTTTGCAGCCTAAGTGCCGAGCTAAGCCAACATTCAGACCTCCGCTCCCTTTGTTACCCCGCTTCTCACAGACAGACCCCTGGTCTTTTCCCAATCATACGTCTTTTGGTGCAAGATACCTCGGGTATACAACCAGGCGTCTATCCAAACGGGTAGCAGAGCACAGCCCAGGCTCGTTGAGAAGAAGCATGGGCAGAAACATAAACAGTGCTATCATGGACCATCTGATCCTAAGCGGACACGAAATTCAAACATGGGATGCGTTTAAGATCTTCTACTCTGTCTCACCACTCTATCCGAAGGCTCTCAGATGGCGTCTCTTGCAGATGGCTGAAGCAGTTTCCAACAAACTAACCCTGCCCAAGCTTTGCAAGCAACCAGCCATTGTACAAGTGCTTCTCTGATATTGGCCACGTGGCAGTTACTCGGGATCGGACACTAACTGCTTACTATCGGCTACGTGGTCTACCCTAGGCGGCGTACAATCGGTTGCGAGGCCAACCCTAAGTGAATCGACCTAGGCATCCATCTGACCTACTGACTCTGTACAAACTCTTGGCTTAGCTGTCCTCAGCGTAGCTGACTGCAGCTTACCACGTTGTATGTTTTTTTTTCTTATTATTATAACGGCCTGATGAGAATAATCGAGAGGCGGTCTCTTAGCTATTAGCACTTGTCTTTAATTACGGATTCATTTCTTTTTCTATGTAGTCTTACAATCCGAGCATCGTTCCGCACGCAATTCTAACAGGACATAAATCCATGGAACATTATAGGGGACAGATGTATTCATCGTGCTATGTAACAAAGTGTAAGTGAATGAATATGTCATTCAACTGTCTCCTAAATCTGCTTGGCTTCGTTGTGGAGTCGATCGATTCTTGGTGAGCTTTCCACGGGTGAGATACACGAATGGAAAAAAATTTCTGGGGTACTCCAGATGACGATACTTTTCTGCGAGTTGAAATGGTTGACCCCTCAGTTTTGTAGTGCTGTTGCGCTGCAGTTATGTGGATCTTACAGAACCAAGTATGTGATATTCAGGTCGGCTTGCCATCTGTGATGTCGTCCGCTGAATACCACCACTCATTTCAGCCTCTGCTCATACGTAAGATTGCGCAATCCATTTAGGTTCTTCGATGCCTGACCTTGGGGCTGCTCCAGTGCACTAAGGTCGTGTTTCAGCCATGGATGCCAGGCTTGAATTGCGTATTTGACATGGGGGCGAACATACGCATTGAGTATTTGTCAGAAAATAGAGATATCTATTTGTCCGATAGCCCGTCGCAACAGCCCAACACGTTGGCTTCCAACCCTTGAAATATTTTTGGATTGCCTGGAGCAACTCATCTTGGAGGAGTCCAACCAAATCACGTTTGACGGTAGGCTGTTGCAGTATATTCGTTCCGAGCCGGTATGAATAGTTTCACAGATGTCG